TTTAAGTGTTATTTTTAATTTATGTATGACTGCGGCTAAGGACATATCGATTCAAGTCAATTTTTTTTTATTATCAGTTAAAATCATAGTTATCAATGCAACACCAGACCACGTGATTTGACTATTCGAACAATCGTATGGGGCCTTAGCTACTTTGTTCTAAGGTAAAAGCTACGGTAATTGACAAGTGGTCAAAGCCAGTATAGGCTCATCAGGCCGTTGACTAAACAAAGTTGAGAAATATTTTTTAATATATTTAATATTTTAAAGATAAAGTATAGATACCCCATTAGACCCAACTTTCTAGGAAACAACCCTTTCCCCGTCCACCCATTTCCAAAAAAAAAAGAAAAAGAAAAAAAAAAAAAGAATACTCGTTAAACCACATCACTAACAGCAATACTGTTTTTTTTTTATTTTTTTTTATTTTTAACATTCATCTCCCCAAGTAAAAAAGTAAATGTTTTATGAAAAAAATAGCCCTCTCTAAACAACCATTTTTTTTCCATTTTATACAATGAAGCCGGTCTGACACATTGTGTCGGACTGGCTTCTAGTCTCCATCGAAACCAGTTCGGCATATAGTGTGATGGACTGGACTGACTTCATGCCTTATTGAAGCTGGTCTAGCACACATTGTGCCAGACCTGTTACATTATACTATTGTGCCAGACAAGTTTTCAGTCTCTGCTGAAGCAAGTCTAACACAAATTCTATGGCTTTGACTTCATGATAAACAATGAAGCTAAACTGGTTATTGATCCCTTATTGAATCCAGTCAAGCACACGTTATACCAGACTGACTAGAGTTTTTTCTCCCTAGTGAGAGAAGAGATCCAAAACGTGGGTTCAGAGGGGGAATTTTGATATAAGAAAGTCAACTTTTTAACTTAAGGATGGATAACCAAAAATTTTTAAAAAATATTGGGGTTAGTAGATAGTTTACAAAATTTTTTGTCAAGCAGTCGACCGACTGTAAAGCTCGTTTTAATTGGACCAAACCTATCACTAATTCGATGGCCAGTCAAATCCTGATAAATATGGTTAGCCCCTTCACCCACTAAACAAGTTTCTTCCAAAGTACACAATTTTTGATAAATTACATTATCTAAACATATGGAACTTAAATGCAATGTAGGATGAATAGATATATGAAGGAATTCAAATGTGTTGATGATTCATGATTTCCTATATCGTTAGTCTTTTCATTGAATAGCTTTATAAACTTATGTTGACACTTCCATATTAATCATTTTATGAGTGTGATGTGTGAGAGAAAAGACACCAACAAAACAAAGCATGAAGTTCTTGGTGTCCCACTTCCCATCGTCATCACTTGATTCATCATCGTGGGAAGTTCATGACACTCGTGATCACATATCTCTCTAGTCACGAGGATAACAATGTACTTTCCTTCTATTGGCCTTTCCTATAGACTAGAAAGAACTTTTTGTACTCGTAGCGGGCCATTAAAAGACGGTGCTTCCCCATGTATCAAAAATCACTTAGGGCATATTTGATTTGTACGTAAATATTTTCCCAGAAAAGTATTTAAACACTTTGCAGGAAAAGTTTTTGCAAATTTTTTTTCTCTATGTTTGTTAACACGCTTAAAAAACACTATATAATGAATTTCATATGTTTGGTAACTTGTTCGGTAATTTGATTTAAATGTATTTCATAAATATATATATATAAATATATATATATATATATATATATATATATAAATTTAAATATATTTCATAACTATGTTTTATTTATATTAGAGTAATGATCCTATGAAACCCTCTTACACCCATACGTGTAGGACCTTAGATGATCAACATTAAATTTGATACAGATATATAGAAAAGTTATCATATAGGTGTGGGATTTGACTTTTCTAAAGATCTGCGCCAAATTTAATGGTAATCCTTTGAGGTCCTACACACATGGGTGTGGGAGAGTATCAAAAGGTCATTTCCCTATATATTAATATAATTAAAATATATAAATATATTTATTTTAAGAGTAATGATACTATGAGACCATCCCATACCCTTATATGTAGTACCCCAAAAGATCACCATTAAATTTGACACAGATCTATAGAAAAGTCAAATTTCACACCCCTGTGATAACTTTTCTAGATATATGTATCAAATTTAATGATGATCATTTGGAGTTCTACATACATAAATGTGAGAAGGTCTTATAGGATCATTACACTTATTTAAATACCGTTTAAATATTATTAAAATATTTTATATTCAAAATTATTTATATAATAATATATTATATATTATATAATCAAAAGGCTCACATGGAATCATGTTTTCGAGTTTGTACTCTTTATAGTCTCTCCAACGAACCAATTAGCAACCAAACTACTCGCTGACTGCTATCAACTAATGGATAGTTGCTAGCAGCTTATAGATAAAAGAGAATGTCTCGATTTGGTTGATCCGCACTTCGACTTGAAAAGTTCTCTTTGTCTTCCCTTTTTCTTTGCTTTCAGAGGACAAAAAGGTAGGCAAGTAGCTATAGGTTACTTTAGTAGGGGTAGCTCAATATGGGCACCCTTATTATTGAGCTTTTTTAAACATGTTAACAAATATGGTGAAATGAAAGTATGCAAAATTCTTTCTTGCAAAAAATTTACATATATAAATATTTTACCTGGGGAAATCCTTATCCACCAACCAAATGTGCCCATGTATGAAAAGAAACCGTGACATGGACATCCAATACATTGTACCCGAGGGTCCATGCAACAGTAAGAGTCAGCTGTGGTGCATGAAAACGCAATCCAACATTTATGTATTGTCTCAAAACAATGAGTGGACCGTCGGCGGTATTCACCTTGTTTGGAGGTTTAAGGCTAAAATGTATGGGATTTTTTATAAAGATATATTTTTTTTTATTACAAAGAGGTCATAATTATTTTCAGTCGTTAGATATCAAATTGGATGGCCTTGACATATGTTACGAAGTCCACTTTTATACCTATCAATTTTGAAATTTAAAGGACAAAAAGGAATGATTGCGATCTTTTTTTGTACAAAAAGCAAGTGGTCTATTTATATACTTTTCAAAGTTTACCACTTACACCACATGCCTATCTTTTTTGAACCACTCATGCCATTGAACCCTAAAAAACCTTGTAGGGGATAGCTCCATGCTCGAATAAAAACAGATGGATGTCGTTCATATGAGGCCAAGGCTTTATGAAAATAATGCAAAGTCTCACATCGAATCATTGTTTGAAAAGAATTTTGGGCAAAAGAAATTTTCATGACGGTTATAAAATCAATTTCTAAAACAAATTATGAAATTCGTAATGGAAAAAATGGTATAGATTTTGCGGATCCATAAACATTTGTTTCTGGCGCGAAATGAACGGTCTAAATAATGTGTTACAATATACACTATTTTTTAATGCTTGAAATCCAAATTTTGTTTCCTAACTATAATGGTCAAGGCTGAGATGATCAATTTGAAGTATTTTCTCCCTCATAACTACAATTTTCGGCAAATTTTGATACAAAGTTTTATTTATTTTGATAGGCCTATAACCTTGTAAAAACATTTTCCAAAAACCATTTTTAAAATTGTTTGCACACTATACCCATTTTTGGATTGTTGGAGTGAAAGTTTTTTTTTTCTTTTTCTATGAAAATAATTGTCGGAGTGAAAGCTACCGCACACCTAACATGGCTACTGTCTCTACTAGCTTCCACCGTCTCAGAGAGAGAGAGAGAGAGAGAGCATATTATCTCTACTAGCTTTCACCATCGCTGACAGAGAGAGAGAGCACTCGTGGTCATAGTCATACCGTGTATTATGAAATGAAATTCAGTCCGACTTTATAGACATGGGATCATGAATCAGTTTCTCATGGAGGTGACATGCCCATTGAGGAGAGCCACTCTTTTTGGCATAGTTTTCCATGAACGTAGGCTTCGTTTGTATGGAGGTCTCATGGATTGATGTAGCATATAACTCCTTGAAAATGTTCTACAAGTGATGTACTAGCTTATGACACTGCAATTCACAGACGTCTTTACAGGAATCAAACCCCTTCTTGTTAGTAAAATGCTCTCATGACAATGAGGTTGAGGTCGGGGTGGTAGTACTGGCTTTAGTTAAAGGTCACAGCCTTCATTTTAATTAATATTTTCAAAAAATTAACTCTTTTCAAAACAGATAGGCCTGTAATCGCCACCGTTCTAACAAAAAAAGAAAAAACTAAAACCATCACTGGCGGGATTTTCCCATTTGCGGTTATGTAGAATTATGAGGTCACAGCCTCCATTCTTATTAATATTTTCAAAAAATTAACTCTTTCTGAAAACAGATAGGCATGTATTCGCCACCGTTCTACCAAAAAAAATAAAATAAAGCCGTCGCTGGCGGGATTTTCCCATTCGCAGTTATTTAGGATTATGAGGTCTACTCTCACATGTTCATTTAATAATATGTAAAAATAAGTTAGGACATGGCTATTAAGATGCCCAAATTGGACCTTGAAGTCCCCCACAAGGTCTCCAAATGAAAAAGAGCAATGTATATGGATCCCTCATTATTTTTTTATTTTTTTTATTTTTAGCAATAAAAATTGAACCTAATATGTAGTATTGCTATCGTCAAATGTTAATCAACCCAATTCCTAACAAAAGTTCTGCTAGGAGACACCCAACTTTTAAGGATGTTGGGAATCCTTCAATTGTGCACAGATATTTAGGGGTCTCTTTTCTAATTTTTGAGAAACACATACGTATGCTATGCTTAATAATAAAAAGAACAATTTTCCTATGCTGTTTCAGCATTTTTAACCTTAGGCAGCACCGATCTCCACCTCTTAAAGTTGATGCTCTTTATAGCAATATAACCAAAAAAGAAAACGTGCACTAGATGCAAAATGACAACGAATTCATAGACCAAACCATATTTTTTTGTTTTTTTTGGGAAATTCAGTGAGAGGCTTTAAACATATTTTTTTAAGTAGATTAAGAGTTAGCTTTTTTAAAAGTACTCGGGTAATCTTAAAGTTGATGATTGCGTTAGAGACCAGCTTTATTGAAAGATAACCAAAAAAGACAACACATGTACTAGATACAAAAAGACAACGAATTCATAAACAAATCAAGATCCATTTTTGTTTTTGGGTAATTCAGTCTGGTCGATAGACCCTTACCTATTTTTTTTTGTTATTAGTTTGCTTTTCTAAAAGTACAAATGAGGTGGTGTTAGTAATGAGAATGAAAACCACATTAAGATGTGCGGTGGTACCACTACGTACGTATCCCTTTCTCATTTCAAGATCCAGCTTTGCCATGTGGTTTCAAAACTTTATATAAGACATCAGCTGCCACCAAAAACAACAAAAAAAAAAAAAATTAAGGGCTTGAGAGAGAGTGAGAAATAGAGGAAATGGATGGAGTAGTGAGCAAGAAAAGAGGGGAGAGGTGGTCTCTGCGTCACTTGACTGCTTTGGTTACTGGCGGTACCAGAGGAATTGGGTCTCTCTCTCTTACTGTTGCATGCATATTGTAGTTTTTTTATTTTTAGATCTTCTAACTGTTGATTTGATTTTCATCTTGTTTGTTGATTTGATTTGTATTGTATTTTGTTTCCTTTTGTGTTATTAGGTTCCCATTAGAAGTTTTATCTACTCTTATTTCCACATACACAGAGTTCTATAGTGATATAATGAAACAATATGCATAGTGATGTAATGAAACAATATGCAAACTTCATGGTTAAGCTCTCGATTCCAAAATTTAAATATATACTCTTTTCATTATAATGAATAATCAATAAAAAAAAAAAAAAAAAAAAAGACACCCTAGAAGGTGTTTTTTTATCCCAATTAATATATAATGTTCATTTTAGTGAGGTACTTAGATTTAGGCATTAGAGTGATCTTTTTCCTCTTCAAATTTTTAGATGTCTTGATTATCATTAGATAAACAATTTCAAAAATAAAAAAAATGATTTTGAATTCATAAAAGCTTTAATAGTGAAATTCACTAAATGGATGCTCTAGATTTATTATTAGAAGAGACTCATTTCGATCATATCCAGGGTGCAAATTTAAATTTTATTTTTTATAGAATTGAGTATTGAGATGAAAAGAGTGTTTGTGAAAAATTGGTACTGTACAACTGTAAAAAATATGTTTTACTAGAAGTGTGGTTTCATTATATTAGAATGACAATGTGATATGAGATCATTTCCTATTAATTAATGGGCATGGTTTGCATAAGGTTGTAACCTTGACCAATCAAAGTACGGTGCACCTCCAAACTTTGTCACGATATGCAACTTTGGTGTTGAAAATTCTTAGGTTGGTGTTAGATCTATTTTTATCTCTAATGATAAAATTTTAAACTCGAACAATGGTTCAGATCAAGCAAATCTTTAAACAAATGAAAATCTTGAAAATGGACGGTCCAAATAATGTATTGCAAGACATACTATTTTTTTTAGGGCTTAAAATCTCTTTTTTTTGTTTATATATATACATCTTGATGGCGAGATGATCAACTAGACGTTTTTCGAACATCAAAGCAACCTTTATTTGAAGAATTTTAGAGGTGCACCTTAATTCTACATTTTAAGGTATCAACCTTATATAATTTAATTCCTATGATATATCAGTTAAGAGCGTGTATACTATGCACCTTTAGGAGTATACCATATAATTTACTCCCTCTGGAAAAATTCTTACATTTTTTTATTTGAAATTTCTAGGATCCATCAAATTATAACTAGATGAATATTTTCAAGGAAAAGAATTTGGATTTTGAGTTCTTAAACATGTAGATCATTCCATCCAAGAATTGGATGGCTCTAGTGCAATCTTGGTGTGCCCTTGCTTTCTTTGAGGTTGCGTGCCTTGTTTCGGAGATCACATCCCCAAAATTTGGAATCTAAAAGATATTCCTATTGTAAGTTTTGCTAGAGGGAGTAGATGGATAGTATACTCCCACCAAAACTTTTTGGGCTTTAGTTAATTGCAAGAACTCTTTTGAAGATGACACATTTTGCTAAACTTTTTTGGGGCCTATATGGCATGCTTAAGGAAAAGTATAATGTAGACTTCCTCTCTAGGGATAAGAGACTTATTTGAGAGAATTTTCTATCTGAAATTTTGGGACCTACCTATAAAATTATCGAGTGCTTTATTTCAAATAAAAAAAGGAAAAATAACTTTGAGTTTTTAAGCACTTTGGTAATTTGGACGATCTCTCTTCAAAAATTCGATTATTGTGTCCCACGAGGCTAATTGGAAAAATCTTGGATGACTGGGCTCAATCACATGGTACCTAATAGAATCATTAAACCATTGCACAACATGTAACCGGCCCAACGCTGGTCGAATAGGGCCTTATCCTAGCCCAAGCCTAGCTCCCTTAATGAGGCCTGCTTGGGCCAGTAAATATTTTTTTCCTAAATATATAAAAAGAAGAGAAATGTACATAAAAACTGTGAGTTTTGATAATTCACATTTTTGGATATTCTACGGTGAAGTCCAAAATTTTTAAAGTTTTCTATTTACTCCCATTTCGATTTTGAAAGCACAATTTCTAAACTTCCCTTACTCCCATTTTACCCTCCGTTTTGAAAGCATAATTTCTAAACTTCCTCCAAAAATGAAAGGCTAAATATTTGAGGTGTTAAAAAATCCAACTTTTGAATAATCCAAACAAAAAAAATTGGGTATTTGGATGGATTTTATATTGGATGGTTCGAGAGTGGTACTTTTGAACGGCCAAAAAAGGGAAAAAGTGGAAAAAAAACGAAAAAAGAGACAGAAGGAGAATAGAAAAAAAACAAAAAAAAATCTTTTTCGACGGTTTGGAAAGTTGGATTTTTAAAAGGGCTAAATGCCTTTTTTCTCAGTTTGTACTTGTTTTGTTATGCTCGAAAGTCTTAATTTCAAATGGGAAAGGTTTCTATGCTTCTCCTACAACATAGAAGTTCTATCCTCTTCCTACCATCTAGCCGTCCAATTTTGATCAAGAGAGCCACTCACCGTTTGATTTTAAATCCTACGTCTCAAAGTATTTTGTTTTTTGTTTTTTTTATACAAATTGTATGAATATGAAATTTGGTACGTGCCATCTTCTCGTTGGGGCGCATCTATAAAAAATATTAAAAATTAAATTTTGATAAAATATAATGATCAAAATACCCCTTAAATCTTTTAGGGGTATTTTGATTATTTTATTTTATTGAAAAAATATATTTTTTAAATTTTTTGCTAGTGTGAGTTTAATAGAGGAATAGACGTCCAAAATTTGGTGTCAAAATAGTTTATAGAAAAAAATTAAAAATAAAATAATGTAGAAACGTGATATTGTGATTGGAACAATCGTAGCCCTCCATTCAGAATGCATGGTTGAATAAGGAGGATAGAACTTCTATGCTAAAGGGGAAGCACAGAAAGCATGTCCATTTCAAATAGCTCAAACACCTAATTTTTTGGTGTTTGGGTGCTATAAAAGTACCAAACTGCCCAAGTACTTCGACAGTTCAAAAGTTCTACTCTTGAACGGGAGGTAAAATATGAATAACATAAAAAGACTAAAAAATTTAGGACCTCACTGTAGAAGTTCAAAAATATTTTGGGTTTGTACGTAAATTTTCATAAAAAGAAAAACAAAAAGGGAAGGGATAGGTCAGGTCGGGCCATGATTCATGGTCTGGGCCCTGCCTTGCCTGGATGCCTGATCTAAACTTTAGGCCTGGGCCTGGCCATTGGGCCAAATTGAGTTGCCTAAGCCTGGGTTGCTTCGAGCCTGGCCACCCCACCCGATTGCCACCCCTAATACTAATGGTTTTGCATAATATGATCCATATTATACTAATAACAGTATGACCATGATTGGACGAGATATGTAAGGGTGTGAGGGAGAGAGTTACGTGAGAGAGAGGGAGTTTCCATTTTTTTAATTCCTCTAAAATCTTGAGAAAGAAAGATTTAAGAAGATATCTTCTAATATTAAAAAAAACGATAAATAGAAGATAAATGAAAAATAGTATAAAGATATATTCCACTATGATCCAAGAAGGGATAGAAAGAAAAGAGTTGTGGAATGAGAGATAAAATATAGGAAGAATATCTTTCTAATTATTTGTAAAAAAATAAAATATCTTTTTAATTTGTAAGATAGACATGTAAGAGAAGATAAATGAAAATATTATAAGGGCCAATGTTATTCTTCATCCTTTTTTTGTTTTCACATTGGAGGAAAATGCCATGGGAGGCGCCTTCTTCAATCCCACGGGCCTTTTATGCTGCTGATCTTGGCTCCTCACGGCATTTTAGGTGCCGTATAAGATGTCTCATGAATAGGGTTACTTAAAGTATCGTAATATTCTCATGACATTACCTTTCAATAACCTCTTAAAACATAAGCTATAGTCAACATGGTTCTTTGATGCATAGGCTTCACGGTACTACAAAGGGAAGTGATTTCATGCCACAATTCTACCGTAATCTAATGAAACAATCTTCAAAAACTCATGTTATGGCTCATTGTTTGACTCCAAATTTTAACTATATGTTTTTTTTATTCTAATAAACAATCATAAAAAAAAGAAGAAGTTGAAAACAAATCTTAGAAATTATTATTAGTTATCTAAATTAATATAAGCTGTATATTTTAGTGAGGTACTTAGAGAATCATTTTTCTAACAAATAAATGCAATGTTGTTAGGTATATTAAAGGTATGAAAGGATACCGGTTCTGGGATCCAAATGTTCGAAATATAATTACAAGCCAAAATGTGCATTTGATGAGTCATCCATGTTGACAAGAGGTGTAGGAAATGAGACTAAAGAAAAGAAAGAATAATGACACCCACGAAATTGATGTTCCATCTTATGCCCCATCATCTAGTGAGGGCCATATACCTGAAACACCCACAAGTATCAATGAAGAAGTCATTGATGAAGAAGAGCAAGTTGGTGAACATTTCCATGAAAAAGTTGCAACATCCATGACGAGAAGATCTGCAAAGGTAATTCATCCACCCGAGTGGTTTAGGTACTATGTGGATCCCAAAATACTATGTGTTTTAGTAGTTTTGAATGAAGAACCGAACACTTACCAGGAAGCTATGGAAGGGGATGATTCCATATATTGGAAAAATGCCATGAAAGATGAAATGTTGGCTCTTCGAAAAAACAAGACTTGGGACTTGATAGAATTACCAAAGACTAGGTATAGGGCAAGACTAGTTCCGAAGGGGTTTGCACAAAAGGAAAGTGTCGACTTTCTTGAAATTTTTCGCACCAGTTGTCAAGTTAGACTCCATCAGGTTGGTGCTTGGGATTGTTGCATTTCATGATTTTGAACGTGAACAAATGGATGTAAAAATGATTTTTTTACATAGTGAAATTGAAGAGGAAGTGTATATGCAACAACCGGAAGGATTTCTTGAAAAAGGAAAAGAAAAGTTAGTGTGTAAGTTGAAGAAATCTATATATAGACTCAAGCATGCATCAAGACAATAGTACAAGACTTTTGACATTTCATGATTGGTCTTAGATACCATAGGAGTGATTATGACCATTGTGTTTACATGAAGTTTTTTATGATGATTCTCATTTAATCTTAATCTTGTATGTTGATGATATGCTTTTGGCATAGAAGGATAAAGTTAGGATTGAGGAGCTTAAGGCATCTTTGAGCAAGAGTTCTGAAATGAAAGATCTCGGGCTAGCAAAACAAATTCAAGGAATTGGAATCTAAAGAGATCGACGAAGGGAGACTTTGTCACTTTAACAAAAGAGCTTTGTAGAAAATATGCTAAATAAGTATGGCAAGAGCAAGACAAACCCGGCGCAGATACCTCTAGCTCCTCATTTCAAGTTGTCCTCCAAGCAAATTCTCAAGACTGTGGACGAAAAAAAGAATATGGCTAAAGTGCCATATGCAAGTGTTGTAGGAAACCTAATGTTTGCCATGGTGTACACTAGACATAAAAAAACACATTACAAATAAACTTCTTATTTTTTTGTATTTTTTAACAATTTTTTTGAAAATTTTTAAGATCTCGAGTTTGACCACCGAAATCGGGCTTTATTGGATCCGAGTAACTTATCGTTTTTGCAAACTTTGGTATGTGTATTTGGACAATCTATTAGTCGTATCAAATAAATAACTATTCTAACTTTTATAGTCTTTATCAGCTCTTGAGAGAGCGTTATCTTAAACAATCATCCCACTTAAAAAAGGGTGTGGTTTATATAATAAGACTGAGGCCTAAATGTCAAAGTAGGGCGCACCTTCAAATGATATAAAAAAATATTATTTTAATACTGAAACTTTGTGATAGTCTGAAATTTTTTTTTTATATCTATAAAATTTAAAGCTTCAAACTTAGTGTAAATCGAACATTTGACAATCTTAAAAATTGACGGTCTAAAAATACATTACAAGATGCATTATTTTCAAGACTCGAAATCCATTTTTCTCATGTCTATACATCGAGATGATCGATTTGAACATTTTTAAACCTTGAAAAGACAATCTTTCCTAGTGAATTTTTGAGGTGGGACTTGTTTAAGACCTCACCCTTATATATAATTTTTTTCTTTAAAAAAAAGCCCCTTTTCAATGGGAATGAATAAAGAACAGGTTCTTTTTGAAGCCTTACGGTCATTTTGGTGGTGTTTTCAAAATGATCAGGGTTCGAAAATCATGTGCACCCAAATGGGTCTTAACTAAACATGTATATGGATTTTTTTTTCTTTTTTTTTAATTGGAACGTTTTTTCAGGTGCAATTAATCAAATTACCAAGAACCTAGCTTGTGAGTGGGCGAAGGACAATATCCGGACCAACAATGTATCACAAGATGTATGCACTTTTCCACAATTAAGTAGACAAGGAAGTAGGAAAAGAGCCAGGGATTAATTGGTGTTAGGGTTTGAAAATTTGCAATGCTACATTCTAGGCTCAATTTCTACCAAGAGTAGTAGCGGCTCTCTCCCCCACTACTGATTCACCCCAAAAAAACTAAAAAATAATAAATTAGACATGGAAGTAAGAATTACTAGTGGCAAATAAATATGGGAAGAGCCGAGGCTCTATACAATCAAATTCGAGCCTACCTCAAAAATTTCACTAGAAGAAGTCGTTTTGATGCTCAAATATCTTCAAATTGATCATCTCAACATCAGGATCCATGAACATGAGAAAGAAATGGATTTCAAGTTTGAAAATAGTGTATTTTGTAACGCATTTTTGGACCGTCAATTTTAAATATTATAAAGTTTTCATAGATATCTCCAGGTACATATTTTTGCAGTTTTTAAACTTTATAAATAAAAATGAGAATATATTTTAACGCTATCCAAAAGATTTCTAGAGTTGAAACCATATTTTTCGACACTATTTGAAGATAGGCTCTAATTGATTGTTTAGATCTTAAACGCCAATAAATATATTTATGATTCATTCATCTACTTTCTTCCCCAGTTTATCGCAAATGAGGAGTGGTTACAGTCGGTCATTGCACGAACTCCAATGAGGCAGAGAGGGGAGCTTGAAGACATTGCAGGTCTAGTTGCATTCCTTTGCATGCCAGCTGCATCATTTATCACAGGCCAAGTTATTTGTGTTGATGGTGGTGCCAGTGTAAATGGCTGGTATCCATGAGATAGAAAATTCCTTCTTGTGCTTTTACTACTACTGCTACCACTCTTTCTCTCTCTCTCCGAAATGATTCAAGTAATGGACAGGGGTGAAAGTAGTTTTGCTTTTGATTCAATGATCCTGAGCCTATGAGTATTGGTCCAATTATGTACGCCTATGAGGTTTTCTCTATGAAGTGAACTAAGTTTGAGGATTTTTCTTATTTCATTTTGAAAAGGAATTTCTTGACCATAATAAAAATGAAACCAGATTAATGTAGAATCATGAACCCCCGTTTGAAGAACGAAGATCAGATATAATTTTTATCCCAATTACATTACCCCATAACCTTAATCTTCAAATAGTCAAAAATGGAAGAAAAATGTGTTCCAAAAAGTGAAGCATGTGCTACATAAATCTGCACCATCACTGGCCAAATCTAATAGCTGAGATGTATCATTTCTTCATCAAAGTCAAGAAATGGTTCATAAAATTCACAGTTGTTGATAACTGAGAATTTGCTTGTGGTATAATTTTTGTTAGCAACATGTGTCAGTATATTAAAACGCAAAAGATAATGTTTAATGAAGAAATTGGTGTTTTATTATTTTTAGTGGAATTTCGTATATTTTTTCCACACATGGCTTGAAAAGATAAAGCACGTAAATCTTGGATCGATTGGTACCTACAATATGAGGTACACATAGTTATGGACAACTTAACTAGGCACCTAAAAGATAAGGTACCGTAATACTTGTTCGCAAATGACATAGTTTTGATCAATGAGACCCGTAATAACATCAATACAAAATTAAAATTTTGGATGGATGCCCTAGAATCTAAATGTTTTAAAATTAGCCGGACTAAGACAAAGCATATGGAATGCAACTTTAGTAATAATAAGAGTAGATACGAGGAAGTAGTAAAGATTGATGTCTAAAAATACCAAAAAAAGCCCACTTTCAATATTTTTGATCGATAAACCAAGAAAATAAAGAGATTGAGGAAGACGTCACCCATACAATTAAAGCTGGATAGACAAAGTGGAGACGTAAAAACAAAATTTTATGTGATTGCCACATACTAATGAAGTTGAAGGGCAAGTTCTACATATAGTTGTGAGACCAACTTTGCTCTATGAAACGGAATGTTGGGCGGTCAAAAAATAATATACTCTTAGAATGAGTGTAGCAGAGAGGAGGATGTTGAGCTTGATGAGTGGCAAGATAAGAAAGGAAGAACTTCGAAATGAAAAGATTTGGAAAATTTTAGGAGTGGCACCAATAGGTGATAAAATGATAAATAATAAACTTCGGTGGACTGGCCATATGTAACAGCATAACCAGTATAGCGGCGTAGAACCAATATAACACCTATTAGAAGGTACAAGTTAGTTCAAGTGGAAGGTTAAAAAAGGATAAGAGGTAGGCGCAAAAGGATATGGATGAAAGTAGCGAGAAAAGATATGGCGATTTATAGCCTCATTGAGGGTATGACCCTTAATAGTGCAGAATGATGGACCAGAATTCATACACTCACATGGTTATATTCCTCTCATTTCCTTAGAGAAGGAGGTTGTGTTCCTCTCAATCAGTGTGACAACTTGGTTTGAATACCATTTATGTTTGTTAGATCCTTGTTTCTAACAAAATTTCTTGAATGTTATGTCACATTTTCATTTATTCGATTTTATATCCAATGGCTAAAAGTGATTTTGAGCTCCTTATAATAGAAATAAATGATTTCATAGTACACAATCCCTTTAAAAAATGAGGCACCATTTTTTATTCTAAAGAGTGAATCCATTCATGGCGAATCTGGCACTTGGAAATGCCTCAATTATGGAGAGAGATATTGAAGGGTCTCAATCCCAACTTTAGAGAGACTTGTTTGTATATGATTCTCAACAATACTTTTGTCTTGGCACAAAAAGAAATTATCTCAGGCACAGATTTTACGAGTCTTAGGACACATGTAAATTTATGTCCTCTCCTCATGATCCATTTTTTAGATGGATTATGAACTTAAATTATTAGGTATATATAATCTCAAACATGTAGATCATGAATGTGTAAAAGATTCTAATATCAACATAATAAAATTGTCTAAATTATTGATTTTAGCCCTATTTTGGAGAGACCACAACTCTGCATCTATTTTTTAGATAGAAGTGTGAAGCATTGGAGAAGTTGAAGGGAAACTAGCTTTGCTCCATAGGTGGAGTGTTGGTTGGTCAAAAACCAATATACTTATTAAAAGAGTGTAGCGGAGATGTAGATGTTTCAATGGATGAGTGATAGACAAGAAGGGATACAATTTGAAATAAACACATTTTAAAAAAATTTAGGTCTAGCACTAATAGGAGTCAAGATGAAAGAGAGTAGACTTAAGCAGGTTGCACAGAGCCGATACAAAATATGTTAGGAGGTGCGAGTTAGTTCAAGTTTAAGGCTAAAAAAAGGCAAGGAGTAAGCCCACAAAGAAATGGTTGGAAGTAATGAGAAAAAATATAGGGACTTATGACTTATTGAGGGTGTGACCCTTAATATAGCAGAATGATGGACCACAATTCGTGAAGCCAACACCAATTAGTTGGGAATATTAAAAGATATGAATAACTCAAATCCCTACTTGATGTGGTGAGCACCCCACAATAATTATTCTAATACTCAAAATGAAATCCTCAAAAGCAATAATTTGTGTACAATATATTTGGAAAAAAATAGAAACCAGAAAAACAAGTAATACAAGAAATCACCAAACCACAACATAAGCAAAGGTAAAAGACACTCAAATTTACATGGTTCACCTAAAATGGGCTATGCCTATGGGTAGCGGATTGATGCATTCACAGTGGAAAAATTTACAACTTTGGAGTTTTGTTGAGAGTACCTACTACGATAGCAATAAACACTTAAATAGAAATTTCCTACCACAGTAGCACCATCAATCGACTATTCTCTTTGTGATCGTTAACCAAGTTCGTCACCCCGAAGAAATGCTAATGAAAAAAAAAGCCCCCAAATTCAAAACCCCAAGCTTCTTTATACTTTTCCCTCTTCCTCTTCACAAATACTTCCCTTACTTCCACCCCATGTTTCACTTTCTAAATGGGTTATAAAGCCTCCATACAAAATATTAGTGCATTTGAACCAAAAGTACCATTGGCTTTGAGCACGTCCCAACAAAAAAAAAAACTTTAACGATGATGATGCCGATCGGTGAACACAAATCTAATTATCCCCGATAAACTACTTTTCCATTGTCAAGAATACTTTAGTATTTTTACCCATGGAAGCATATTCCTTTCAACAAATTTAAGATATATTTCTTTTGAGAAATGAAGAGTTCCTTGTTTGAATGTGCCATTTCAATGCCGAAAAAATACATTAGTTGACCAAGGTCCTTGATGTCAAATTCTTGCGATAGACAAAAAAACATGAACACTATTATCTTGACAACTGGTGCGAAAGTCACTTTATAGCCAATTCTATAAGTTTGGGTAAATCCTTTGGCCACCAACTTGATCTTGTATCTCTCACCAGACCCATCACTATTATATTTTTTTTAAAAAACTTATCTACATCCAATTGCTTTTTTCCTTTTGGGTAATTTAACAATATCTCAAGTATGGTTCTTGTTTAATGCCTGAAATTCATCTTTTATG